CTGCTAACTGCAGCTGTGTGTGGGTTTTCTACATGTTCTCTGTCCTTGCACAGACCCAAATACAAACAGGATATCATTAATTGTTCACTCCTCACGGACCGTTGGTGTGAATGTGAGTGTGAATGTCTGGGTGGGGGTGTGTATTACATACACAGACATGCACCTCAAGTTCTTTTGGAAAATGACTGTAACCAACATGTGGCTTTTGTCAGTACTTGCATTACAGTATGTGTACTCACCCCTGTCTGTGGGCTGAGTACTGGCACTGCTGATGACAAACTGATGGCCTGAAGTGATGTCATCCTCTCCACAAGTCAACAGGTGACAGTTCTTCTCTGTGCTGACGTCCACCAGCAGCGAAAACTCTGAGTGACAACAGAAGTGAAAGTCAAGACTTTTTATTTTTTTACTTTTTCCTATTTTTATTCCTATTATTCCTATTTCATTTGAGGTTTTTAGTTTTGAGTATTTTCCTGATTCTTTGGTACCTGAGGAGCTGACATGGGCTGGGATGGGCACATCTGGGCTGAGACCTAGGAAGTTGCATTTGTAGGCCTCTTCATATTGATCACTGAAGGGCACGCAGCGCACACAGCCAACTGGGAGCAAAGACTAATGGGAGAAATGACAGAGGTTCTGAGAAGGGACCGATGTCACGACTCTCTCTCTCTCTCTCACACACACACACACACACTGTTCTCACTACTGCTGGGCCCACACCGGTTCTAGAACCTTCTAGATCAGGGGGCTCAAACTCATTTCCACCAGGGGACCACATCAGCAACCATTGAAGGGCCGGCTGTACTGGAAGACTGTGTAGATCATGAGTCCCCAACCCCCGGTCCGCGGACCAGTACCAGTTCATAGGTCATTTGGTACCGGGCCACACTGGGACACAATGAAAAATATCCTTTCTTTTTTAAAGATAATCTAATTTTAAAATTATAGGTCCTTCAGACTCTGATACTAACAGAAAATTTAATGATTAGTATTTGATTGATTATAAAAACTTATATTGCTTAGGTTAAGAAATTCTGCTGCATGGACTCCCGCAGGCCACACAAAACGGCTTGGCGGGCCACATTTGTCCCCCGGGCCAGTATGTTCTAGAACTGTCACTCTAAAACTCTAGAACTCTAGAACTGTAACTGAAAGTAACTTGAACTAGACCTAGAACACAGTCGAACAACACTACAGGGTGTGTCTACAGGGTCAAAGGTCAAAGTATCAGTGTTATTATTACTGGTGTATTACAGTCATTAATGACACTAAGTCAGGTCTTGACTGCAGAAACAGTGTTACTGTATATTCCTGAATGTTTCAGCAGAGGGAGACATTAAAGCATTGGACCCTCCTACTACTGCACATGTTGTTCACAAAGCATTGTGGGAAATTGGTAGAGGCAATTAAAAGATGAAAACACAGTGAAAACAGTGAAATACCTTCAGAACTTTAAATGCTGACTGGGTCAGGGAGAGGTCAGCTCCTCTCCATACAATCTGATTTCCCATCAACACATGCCACGCTAGCTGCCGAAACTCAGCAACCCCCAGTACCTGTAGAAACAGTTGTACAGTATACAGATTCATTACCAGGAGAACGTGGAACAACTTCCTGGTTTACTCTCTTGATTTCCAGCATTTCCATGACTACAGAAAGTACCTGTCTCAGGTGTCGCAGAGATCTAAATTTTGGACCAGGTAACTCATGTAGTTTTGAATCGTCACACAAGAAGCTGAGTCCAAGTTCACCTCCTGATTGGTGTTGCTGCTTGGATGCCCCTCCCTCTGCACCTCCCCAGCAGCTCATTTCCTCCTCTTGTTCTTTTGGAGACATAAATCAACAAAGTGATGAGGTATACAGTTAAATCCTCAAACAAACACGAACCAGAACTGGACTCGTCACCACGGACCAGCACCAAAAACCAGAGGCTGCCGTGCTGGTCCTTTGTAGACTTTGATTCCAAATTTTTTGTGCGTACCCAGTTTCTGGATTTTTGCGTACGCTTTCATAAAATATACGCAAGTCTTTGTATACGAGGCCCCTGGTCTGACAAAGAGTGTTTGTGTTGACCTTTGACCCAGGTATAGGGTCTGAGACTTTACCTGTCTGTCTCTCTATCAGCACCAGGGTGTCCTCAGTAGGAGCTCCTTCCAGAAGCTTCTCTGTTAGGCGACTTCCACAGGCTTTCAGCAGCCTGAAGAGAACAGAATGACAGGGCAGAGGTCAACGACTGCTGTAACGAGCTGAGCCCCCCCCCCCTCCCTTTTTTTCTGAGCGCTCGGATCACGATTCCATTGGATTACTATTGAAACAATCTTTAGTTGAGAACCCAGGAAACGTGTTCCTGTTCTTAACACATACATTTGTTTGGTTGGTTCTTTGACTTTACTCCTCTGTAGTAATTCTGTTGGACTGTAAACACTGAACTGATACAAATAAACGCTAACAGAACCCAGCACTCCCTTCTTCATCTGAATTTTATTGGATACTTCTTCTGTCGAGCGTCTTCAATTTGTCTGTTTCCACTGTGTGGTTTACGAAGCTGAGGTCAACCGCCAGTTAAAGAAGAGATGACGTCAGGCAAAGAAACACCTGTAGTTGGCGGGAAGTTTGATTTTTAAATTCTTGCCCAAAACCGAAAATGAGAAAACCAAGGTATCCTATATATATATACACACACGTACATACAGTGGGTACGGAAAGTATTCAGACTCCTTTAAATTTGTCACTTTGTTTCATTACAGCCATTTGCTCAAATCAAAAAAGTTAATTTTATTTCTCATTAATGTACACTCAGCACCCCATCTTGACAGAAAAAAACAGAAATGTAGAAATTTTTGCAAATTTATTAAAAAAGAAAAACTGAAATATCACATGGTCATAAGTATTCAGACCCTTTGCTCAGTATTGAGTAGCAGCACCTTTGGAGCTAGTACAGCCATGAGTCTTCTTGGGAATGATGCAACAAGTTTTTCACACCTGGATTTGGGGATCCTCTGCCATTCTTCCTTGCAGATCCTCTCCAGTTCCGTCAGGTTGGATGGTGAATGTTGGTGGACAGCCATTTTCAGGTCTCTCCAGAGATGCTCAACTGGGTTTAGGTCAGGGCTCTGGCTGGGCCAGTCAAGAATGGTCACAGAGTTGTTCCAAAGCCACTCCTTGGTTATTTTAGCTGTGTGCTTAGGGTCATTGTCTTGTTGGAAGGTGAACCTTTGGCCCAGTCTGAGGTCCTGAGCACTCTGGAGGAGGTTTTCGTCCAGGATATCTCTGTACTTGGCCGCATTCATCTTTCCTACAACTGCAACCAGTCGTCCTGTCCATGCAGATGAAAAACACCCCCATAGCATGATGCTGCCACCACCATGTTTCACTGTTGGGATTGTATTGGGCAGGTGATGAGCAGTGCCTGGTTTTCTCCACACATACCGCTTAGAATTAATGCCAAAAAGTTCAATCTTCGTCTCATCAGACCAGAGAATCCTATTTCTCATAGTCTGGGAGTCCTTCATGTGTTTTTTGGCAAACTCTATGCGGGCTTTCATGTGTCTTACACCGAGGAGAGGTTTCCGTCGGGCCACTCTGTCATAAAGCCCCGACTGGTGGAGGGCTGCAGTCATGGTTGACTTTCTACAACTTCCTCCCATCTCCCGACTGCATCTCTGGAGCTCAGCCACCGTGATCTTTGGGTTGTTCTTTATCTCTCTCACCAAGGCTCTTCTCCCACGATTGCTCAGTTTGGCTGGACGGCCAGGTCTAGGAAGAGTTCTGGTCGTCCCAAACTTCTTCCCTTTAAGGTTTATGGAGGCCACTGTGCTCTTAGGAACCTTGAGTGCTGCAGAAATTCTTTTGTAACCTTGGCCAGATCTGTGCCTTGCCACAATTCTGTCTCTGAGCTCCTTGGGCAGTTCCTTCGACCTCATGATTCTCATTTGCTCTGACATGCACTGTGAGCTGTAAGGTCTTATACAGACAGGTGTGTGCCTTTCCTAATCGAGTCCATTCAGTTTAATTAAACACAGCTGGACTGGTATGAAGGAGTAGAACCATCTCAAGGAGGATCAGAAGAAATGGACAGCATGTGAGTTAAATATGAGTCACAGCAAAGGGTCTGAATACTTATGACCATGTGATATTTCAGTTTTTCTTTTTTAATAAATTTGCAAAAATTTCTACATTTCTGTTTTTTTCTGTCAAGATGGGGTGCTGAGTGTACATTAATGAGAAATAAAATGAACTTTTTTGATTTTAGCAAATGGCTGCAATGAAACAGTGACAAATTTAAAGGGGTTTGAATACTTTCCGTACCCACTGTGTGTGTGTGTGTGTATATATACAGTATATGTACATATTGATACATATATATATTTATACATATATACATATATCTATCATCCATCTATCCAACCATCTATCTATCATCCAACCATCCATCCAACCATCCATCCATCTATTATATTCAGAAATAACAGCTAAACAAAGACATTTGTCAGTGAGTAACAGAGAAGTGTGTGAAGTCAAGTTAACAGGATTGTCTTTGTTATTGGGTCTGAGCTGTAAAGAGAAAGTGTACCAACAACCTCACCAGCTGAAAGAGCAGTGCAGACTGGCCCATAGATTGGGATGCTGAGTGAGAGACGTCAAAGATCGAGCAGCATTGCCACTCCTCTGGTGGGGGAAGACTGCAGGTGAAAACACAGTGTTCATCCTCACAGCCCTCTGGGGACAAACTCCTTGTTCACTGTCAAACACCTGGTGCAAAGAAAAATATAAAGATGTTGTCATACTGGACTCACAGGACAACGTAGGGCTGTACTGGAGCAGACCATCTGGCTCACACCTTCAGGGCTGTGCTTTGCAGACTCTGTATGGTCAGCTTCAGGTGGCGTAACAGAAAAGGCCATGAGTTGATGAGGTAAATCCTGTCCATGGCGACCATGACAATACTATACCAACGCTGAAAGCCCCTGGCCAGGCTGTCTTTGATGAAGAAGGTGTGTGAGAACACAAACCCGTGCTGCTCATCTCCAAAGAAAATCGGTCCTTCACGACCAGGACACACCTGGAAAAGCCACAAAAGATTTGGATTTTTTTTTTAATGCAAACTGTTGGGGTCCAAATGTTCACCAGTGCAAAACAGTAGTATTTTTATGACTGAACGGATCTTAAATGTATGAAAAACCCAAACGTCAACGTGCAAATCTGGAACTTACACACACAAAACAGACGTACATCACCGTTTACCTCACAGCTGAGGCTGCGTACACAAGCCTGTCGTACAACACTGAACAGCTGTGGTTGTCTGGGATGCTGGTGACTCAGGAAGCGGATTCCCGTTTCATCGTCAATGCTCACAAAGCCTGGGTGAGATGCAGGTAGAGATCGACAGCCCTGTGATTAAAAAAAGACAGAATTTAAGAGGAAAGAAAAGCAGTGAAAAAAAAATCTGAAAATCAAAGCGATAAAGATGTGTGACAGGAACCACTGACCACTGGTCAGACTAGACTCTCTTTTAATGGAGAATTTAAATTGAAAACGAACAAGGAACACCGCAATTGTGTCATAAATGTCAATTATTTAATTTATTTAACTGTTGAAAATAACAGAATATGGTGGAACCTCCTGGTTGTTGAACTCCTCCCTTTTTGAACAATTTAGTTCACAAACAACATTTTTAACCAAAACATGCCCAGTGGTCATACCATAACTCGATTGCCGAACAAGAGACAATACCATACAAGCAGGTACAAGTGATCACTGAGTGACAGTGTGTGTGGCGTCAGCCTGGCTTCAGCCGGCGCTCAGGATATACACGCTAGGAACTGGTAATTCTTATTTTGACTGTATTTCTTGCATTGTTGTATTTCTTCTATTTCTTTATTCCATAAATCACCATGAGAAAGAGTGAGAAGAACAGTAGAACTCAATAAAGATGAGGGTGGAGCTGGTGTTGAGAAAATACTGTTGAAAAAGTTTGAATCGGCAATCATCCAGGAACCGATTCATCCATTTGACATTGACTCCTATGGAGAAGAAAATGGTTTCAGTTTTTGAACTTTTCTGTTCATGAACGACCTTCAGGTTCTAAATGAGGTTCTAAAACCCGGGTTCCACTGTGTTTGGAAAAAAAAGAAAGAAAAGAAAAGGGTCAAAGCACTGACCACTCGTCCACCGTCTCCTCTCTGTCATGTAGCTGGAGAAATATTAAACCAACGTGACCAGCAGCACTGCGCTCACCTCACACATTTCACCTCTTTGTGTGGCCGAACTGTTGGCCCTCATTGTTAGCCCTTCGCCTTCCCGCTCTCCATCCCTGTCCCCAGCTGCCGGGACTCCAGGCTGGGACGATGGGGACGGTGGATGTAGCGCTTCGGTGCAAAACAGTGTCCGAGGGCCATGGAGTTCACAAAAGTGACAGAGAGCCACTAAAGCGTTCATCTGAAAAATATGTCGCTGATTCTTTTAACGTCATATCATTCATTTATCTGAAACGGTTTGTTCAGTTTGACCAGTGATAACCATCGTATTTCTTACCTTTACCGAAGCACCGTCTGACGTTCAACACACTGATACAATGCTACACCTTAGCGGCCATTTTTGCTCCTTCTTTACTCCACACCATATTCCATCAACCGTTTAAAGCATGTTTTCAACCATAACATTGTCTTATGTTTGCGATTTGGTTTTATAGCGCTGTTTGTTTTAACAGCTTATTTTAGCATATGGCTAAAGCTGCGCGGCTAACCCACAAAAACATCACGTCACGTCACGTGAGTCAAAATCACGAGCTCGAGCTTGGGTGACGCGTGACCAATAAGCTGCGTTCACGGACAAAACCGAGTGGGAAAAAGTGGGCAAACCTCTTAAAGAAAGATCTTTCCCCGTTTGCTCCAGAAACGAAGAATGTGTTGGTGGCATCGAAGCGTGACGAGTGTTATTTATGAAGAACTTCTTTACAAAGGCTGTTCCACCGTTGATAAAACGAAGCATTTCAGACCAAAAAAACCCTTAGAATTAAAACTGCATTTCCCACAGTTCTCTCTCGGGCCATAATTCAGGGTCAAAGTGTAATGTAAACGAAGAAACGCCTGTTTTTTTACAGTCATTACTCACTTTTATGTGTTACTAAGTAGGTTTTGTTGAACCGTTAACGTGTGTTAACAAAGGAGGTGGGAGTCAGAGGACAGGCTCAGAGGAATGACATCAAGGATTCAGACGTCGCTGTGAGAGGCAGCCATTGGCTGCGGTTGAAGCAGAAGGAGGTGGTGTGGGCTGCTCACAGACCCCCAGTCCGCCCCCCTCCCCCCCCCGCCCCCATCCGATCAGCCTCAGTGGAGGTGTATGTGATAAAAGGTTGAAACACCCAATGACCCCATGATGAGGAAGGGTCTGCGTCGCCTTCTGCTTCTACCACAGTCCACCCCCCCCCCCCAAACCTCCATTCATGTACTAACTATCAGGGATTGGTACTGAGGTACTGGGTATCAATTACCATCACATACATCTAGTCCTAGTACACATACTGGGTGCTTACTGTACACATAAATACTTGAGTGTGGTCCCAGGAACTGTTCCAGGAACTGTTCCAGGAACTGTCCCAGGAAATAAAGAAACAGACGACACCAGTCTGTAAATATGCTGTTATTGTTGTTTTTTTATAAAGTTCGTGCAGTACAGTGTCGTCAGACCAACCAGACTCAGAGATATATTTCTATCTAGATTCTTCACTACAAACTACTGTAAATGCTGTCTGTGCAGGTCAAGTCACATGATCTTCTTCTTCTGTGGGTCTGACCAGCATCTGCAGTCACTCAGGATGGTTCGAGAAGACTTAGAGTGAGGTGGTGGTGGTGGTGGTGGGGGGTGTCGCATTCCCCTCCACATAAACACAATAGGACAGAGTTCAGAAAGGAGAAGGAGAAGGGGGAGGCACAGTGAAAAGGTTAAGGGTAACGTGACAAAGGGGGGGGGGCACTGGTCATGTGACCAAACATCAACAGGTCCTCGAATCCTGTCAATCCCAAACTGAAGAACCAGCAGTAGTAGTGGTTCCAAAGACATGGTCTACAAACCTATGATTGCACAAATGAAATGAACGTTTTCCCGCCCAGGGTTTCAAACCCTCATCCTACATTTACACACTTTCATTTTTTTGTAAATGAATAGCTTCATGTGTCGCTGCTCAGGACAAACATGAAAAGGTTTGCCTTTTTTTTTTTTTCAGCGACCTGTACAAAGGAACCCTGTGTTCCCTGTTCCTCTGGTCCCAGGGTTCTGGGTTCTAATGCCCGAGAACAAACACCGTCAACACCATTATAGCTACAAGTACTACTACTAACACAGATTAGGATGGAAGCTAGACAAACGGAGGCCAGCGCAGAACCAGACTGGGACGGACAGCAACCGCAGAGTGGGTCGGTGGTCCGGTCAGTCCAACCTCGCTGTTGTATCTCATATATTGGAAGACAAATTACAGTATTCACATCCGACTTCATTTTTATAAATGACAACTATCTAATATAGAGTTAAAAAAATAACACAGGCGTACATCGGCCCACGGCCCATGTGTTGTGCACACTCATGCTGACACAGTTACACACAGCTCGCTGACAGTCGGCGGCTGCACATGGAAGAGATTCACAGTAAGGGTTGTCAAGATCCGGAACTGAACGTGGACCCGACCCACACACGGCCCGGAACAGAAACACTCAGTCCAAGCGTAGCTAGCCTGTAATAACGCTAAGAATAATCACAACAACAGTTGGACATAAACGCTGACCAGGTTAGCCATAACATAGCACGAGAGTATGTGAAGGGTTAATCTGTGGGTCATTAACAAAATAAATCATTTCTAACACATGAAATATCAAAATAGTTTGAGATTCTGACACTACTTCAGAATCTTCTTTTTCTTCTTCTTCGTTGTTACACGTGTTCTGGTGCTCAGTGAGTCGACTAAATAATATGGACGGAGGACTATACCATGGGTGTGTGTATGTGTGTGTGTCTGCCCTATCACAAACACAGTGCTTTCCATCTGTCTCCTACCTGGAGCGCCCTCCTCCTCCTGGGCTCTCTCTTTCTCTCTCTCTCTCTCTCTCTCTCACCCCCCTCCCCAACCCCTCTCTCTCGCCCTCTCTCTCTCTCTCTCTCTACACGGGCGTTGTCTTTCTATTCAGGGTGTTGGAGTTGCTCTCCCTGTCTCCCTTCAGTCTGTCCAGAGTGCCCATCCCCCGCTCCCGGTCTACTGTGGATGAGGTGAAGGGTGGTGGGCCAGAGGCCACAGAGTTGGGCATCTGGGTGTTGGTGTTGGAGGAATTTGAAGGATTGTGAGACTTTAGTGAAGGGAGTGTACCACTCATCATCACCCCTCCGCCTCCCCCGTCCTTTGGGAAGCAGTTGTGGAGCTGGTAAAGCGAGGCCCTGTCCACTGTTCCATACATGGGGGGTAAACCCCCCAGTTTGGGGTCACGGGACAAAGTGTAGAGTGAGATGTCGCCTCCAGCCACAGCGGTGTGGGAGCGAGAGTGAGGGTTGGGTAAGGTCGACACTGAGATGGGGCCCTGGGACAGTAGTGCAGACGGGGGCAGGCCAAAGTTCTTGCCCCCAGTGCCTCCTACAGGTGAAGGGTCTCGAGACCGGGAGGGGTCAGTGGAACGGGAGGAGGAGCGAGATCTACGGCGGAACCGGTAGCTGGGCAGACGTAGCATGGCGTGCGTGGTGCTCTTGAAAATGTCGGTGCGCGAGCGACAGCGCAGCTCTTTGTTCTTTTCAATGTAGATGTTGACGGCTAGCACGCCAACCATCTCGGCCATGATGAAGGACAGGCCGCCAAAGTAGAAGGACCAGCCGTAGGAATACTGCCACTTCTTATCCTCGTCCTTCTTTGGAGAGATGTCGCCCAGCGCAGCGGAGATGTACACGATCACACCGATGATGTTGCTCAGACCTACCAGAGAACGACCGTCGTTCAACACACAATACGACACAGAATACAACATCTGCTGTATATCATTACAGTTTGTATAACCATTCATTCATTCAACAGAATGGGTTTTTAAGCCACAGTTAACCCGTGCGTTAACATTTAGCCATGTTAGGTGTAAAAACACATTTTGTACCTGCAGCCACAAAAAGTATTCCAGCTCCCAGGATGATGTTTCTTTTGCTCTTATAGAAACGACTAGCAGCGATGCACACCCCTCCCATCAGCAGGAGAATGGCACTGAGAATCGGAAAAATGTTGGAAGCCCTGACAACTCCTAAACAGATGGAAAACGATGAGAAGCAGGCAAAGATATGTTGCATCTTAAAGATATCAGTGTCATCTGCAACCAACATTTTTAATCACTATTCATTTCTTCAGGTAAGTATTATGGGATGAGTATACAGTGGTCCCTCTACTGTTGCGGTAGTTCCGTTCCAAGACCCAACGCCAAAAGGGAAAATCCGTAAAGTAGAGGTGAGATACTTATTATATTATTGACGTATATATTAACCCTTTATGAACCTCCCCCCACTGTTATCAACCCTCCCTAGACTGTATCAACCCCACCTCACCCCCCACCCCTAATCCCCACAGTTATATTCACAGTACAGTTGTAGAATGGAAATATACGACATACATATGACGTCAATAAATGTAATACACGACGAGGCGGAGGTTAGCGCTCAGCTGCAGGAGGGAGAACACGGGAGTGGTGACGGAGGTGAGGGCAGTTGGAGTAATCTGCTCCTCTCCTCATATCAGGAGGAGCCAGGACCAAGGAGAGAGGAGAGTGAACAGAGGAGAGACACTGGCCAAGACAGACGGACCGTAGATGAAGGCCGGGCACAGGCAGGAGCGGACATTATTGTTAACTGTCATCTGTGTCAGCGTCTTGGTTTGGACTTGGAAACAGAAGTGGGAGAAGATGATCGGAGGAGGTTAGGAGGCATCGTAGGACGTTAGATTAGGGTCAACTTTCACCTAACTTTACAGCAACGAACTGTAGTGGAGGACAGACAAGGGGAGATGAAGGAGCCCATCAGAGTGAGGGACAGGAGAACATCATCAATGCTGTGTTCATCTCCTCCATGTAAACAAAACCACCAGCCATGACTTTTAGCTGATTTTGTACTATATTTTTACTGTTTATTTTGTTTTAGGTTAGAAAATGTTTTTTATCACGAAAATAATGAAACTTGGAAATTAAAAAAATAAATTTACCGTAAAATAACGTGATATAACTCGAGATTGGAATAAAAAAATACGCCATGCATTGACGGAGCGAAAGGAGAACCGCGATATAGTTTGTCCATTATGTGGTGAGCATTTACTTAATGTAGGGTAATGACCTAAGTTGGACACAGGAGGGCACTGCTGTTCGCGTCTCCAGAGTCAGGCAATTGTCGCTATGTTTGTTCTCGATGAAACACCGTATTTTTGGCGCTGTGATGTGATGTGTTTTGAGCCTGTGTTTGTCTGTATCGCAGTAAGGAGGAATAAAAAGAGATCATGTGATTACTGGGTGTGTAAAAAAAGATCACCGGCCAGAAACATTTACTCTACTTAAGCATTAAAACAGCACTCCAAGATCCACCAGCAGGGGGGTTTCTTTGTAAAGGTGTGGTACTTTGGTCTGTTCCACAGCAGCCGCTGCAGGATGAACTTCAACTGACACCAGAGCTAATGTTAGCTAATTCCTTATACTACAGCTAACTTACGTAAGACGTACTCTGCACCGTCATGGTCAAAGTCTGCGTCCTCGGGGAAGTGGTTGATCTGAGAACACACCCCCCTCTTCACTCCTGAGACAGAAACAGAAACAGAGAGAAATCATTGGACAGAGGATTTAAATCAGAAACGTACAACAACAAGTTTGACAGGTGAAAATGAATTAACGTCCTGACGACACCAGTGACCGCCGGCATCCGGGACCAGAGGCCAGACGCCCGCTGACAGGTGTCCAGCAGACAAGTTCATTCAAGACATGAGAACATATGGGACAAGAGTACCTACGACACACGCATACTTGTGAATACATACAAGTATGCAGACAGTCAGGCAGACAGTCAGGCAGACAGTCAGGCAGACAGGTGACTACCCGGTGGGGTCTTTAATGTTGACAGACAGACGGAGGGGAGGATGACAACAGGACGGCTGCTGATGGACAGAGTGTGAGAGAGATGAAGAGATGGATCAGACACAGACGGACAGAGGTGGAGTGATCTGGTCCCACGGCTGCTCTGGAGGGAGATAGATGGAGGTAGAAGGGGGCGGGACAACAGTACAGTCTCATCAACAACAGACCGGTCTGTAGGTTTCCAACATGAAAACAAAGCTGATGTTAAAGAAGTTGGTCAAAACATTTGTCATGTTTCATAGAGACAGAGAACAGGGTTTAAATGTTTCCACTTATCAAATATATATACATATAAATGTGATATATATTTGTATATAAATGTAGAACACACACACACACACACACACACACACAAATTTGGTCTTAGTTTAATTTGCAGGATCTTCTAGTTGGAGCTCGTCTTCCTCCAACATTCACACCTTCAATATCATGTTGTGTTCACTCTAAATTATCCAAAGGCGTCAATGTGAATAGTTGTTTGTGTCCGTGCGCCGCCCTGTGGTCACTGCTGGGATTACGACCCTATTTTTATTATTATTTTATATTAACATCCCATCATCAACTCCCAGCATGTGTCTGTGGGTGCTTCAACCCCAGGTCAGCGGCCCGTCTGGTGTCAGAGCAGCCTCACTGAGGTCATTGGTCTTTATGATTCCTAAATATACTGATTTACTTGATGAATGTTCTCGCCGTCACTACACACACTACAACTACTGCAGCTGCACAAGTGTCAGTACACCATAGTACACTACAGTACACTACAGCACAGTACAGCACACTACAATACACCACAGTACACTACAGTACACCACAGTACACTACAGTATACTACAGCACAGTACAGTACACTACAGTACACTACAGCACAGTACACTACAGTACACTACAGTACACTACAGCACAGTACAGCACACTACAATACACCACAGTACACTACAGTACACTACAGTACACTACAGTACACTACAGCACAGTACACTACAGTACACTACAGCACAGTACAGCACACTACAATACACCACAGTACACTACAGTACACTACAGTACACTACAGTACACTACAGTACACCACAGTACACTACAGTACACTACAGTACACTACAGCACAGTACACATCGCCATCAGCACGCTGCCATCATTCATCTTCTAGCTCCACCCAGCTACAGAGCATGGAGGACGCCACCGTCAGCTTCACTGCAGCAGAGTGGGGGAGAGAAGAGGGGAGGGAGGGAGGACACTACAAGGAGAGGCCAAGGAAGAGAGATCAGAGAGAAATGGAATACAGAGGGCGGAGACAGGGGGGGGGCACTGGAGCTCATCTTTAATTGGCTGTGGTGAAGCACACAGATCAGGACACTGACACTAAGTCAGTGGTTGGTCTGTGGGCTCCTCACTGCTGACTGTCTAAGGGTTTCACGTTTGAGTCTACCAGCTGCCACTGAGAATAGCACTGTCCCCACACACTGCTGCTAACCCCCCAGTCCAGACATAGGTCCACTGGGCTTTTACCTCTGACTCATCAAATATTTTGATTAAAAAAGAAATTGTCCACATCACTTTTTAGACAAGCTGCATTATCCAGATATTTAGACAAACCACTAGATGGCACACTCCAGAAAATAGTGAGTGGAGTGGAGTGGAGAAGAGTCCACTGCTCCACCTGGTCACTGTGGAATGTTTAGATGTTTGCTGTGTGACCTTCCTGTCATCTGACTGTCTTTGGTCTCACATCACAGCCAATCACAGTCGTTCGCTCGGAGTACACCTGACCTTTGACTACTCCAGTCACTCAGACCACAGTGACTGCACCAGTCTGCAGTGCCAAATATGGGCCACAGGTTGACTGTAGTACTGCTGTATGTGGGCTAGAAGTAACTGCAGTACTTTGTCCAGAAGGTTATATATTTATAGTGCTAAAATAAATGTTTAAAATGGAAACAATTGAAGAACCAAATACTGTTGGGGTCAAAGATCAAAGGTCTCTTCTCTACCTTCTAGACAGCATATCCTCCACAGGCCAGAGTGGGTGAGGGCCCCGGGGTCCTTCTTGTCCTTGTTGTGGGGGTCGTCTTGAGTGACGTTGGCCGTGCTGTTGCAGATGAGGGCCCGGGAGTACAGCCAGTAGTCCGTCCCTATGGCCACCGTCATCAGGCCGAAGGCGGCAAACGCCCCCACGGTGGTGAGAAGGATCTGGATGCCCTTCTCACACACCATGCCTTCACACAATAAAGAGCGGAGAAATATATGGGTCAGATGGAACAGAAGGAGCAGGAGTAAGGAGGACAGGAAGTGAGGAGGGACCAGGTGACACCATCGCTGCTGATACTGAACTAACACAGTCATAAAGATACAGTGGACATTTGACACATGATCACTGGTCCTCAAACTGCGGTTGGTGTACCACTGGTGGAGTACAGTCATGTATCCAAACCTACCTGTACCTGCGACCTCTACCTCCAGGCATCACTACCACCGACTGATGACATCATCCACGTGTCACAGCAACCACTGGTACATTGAGTTTCTCGTACGTTGAAGCACCAGGTGTGAGTTCTTACCTGACGGCGAGTTTCTATCCTTCGACTCAATTTTGAAATCTTTCGTTTCCTCGTCAGTGAAGAATGTGCTGTCCTCTCGGTCCGGACAGCGTCCATCGACTGTTCTCGCCGGCTCCTCGCGCTCCTTTTTGCACTCCTGTCTCCTTAGCCTCTTTCTTCTTCCTCTCTGCTTCCTTCTGAGTGGGGGCTGGGGGGGGGGGTCCCACTGTTCCTAAGCTGTTAGCAAGAAGCCTGAAGCAGGGAAGCCATCTTCACTGCACTGGACCTGCAGAGGACAGAGTAGAGGACAGGGACGTGAGTCCACCTGTGGACGGAGCTGGAATTACAACATCTGTGTAGATTCTCAGTCCTCCAGGAACTCCTGTGGTACTGATGTTTGGTACTGATGTTTGGTACTGATGTGTGGTACTGATGTGTGGTACTGATGTTTGGTACTGGTGTTTGGTACTGGTGTTTGGTACTGGTGTTTGTTTGGTACTTGGTACTGGTGTTTGGTACTGGTGTTTGGTACTGGTGTTTGGTACTGGTGTTTGGTACTGGTGTTTGGTACTGGTGTTTGGTACTGGTGTTTGGTACTGATGTGTGCTGTTGGTGACTTTGAGCTAATTCATTATCTGAATGTCAGGTCTACATGGTGGGATTCCGTGGTGGGATTTTAGTCCAAAATAATCTGTGGACTGGTGGACCACTTTGGTGTGTTCCTCATGTGACTGTCAAACTGAACACAGTGCCACACACTCTACATCCAACGGTTCTACAGTCATTGTTCCAGGACACAGTCAGCACTCACGTCATTAGAAGAATAATCCAGATTACATGTGCTGGACTGAATAAAAATCCCAAATCTCCCGCCACGAAGATTAAAGAAGACACGCAGATTATCAGCAGAGGGGAAACAGTTTTACAACAATTCACATCAAACGCTGGTATTTTAACTCCTGACTTCTTTATTAAAATGAACCCTGGACTGAAACACGGATTATGGGATGGAAGAGAAACTGGAAGGAGAAAAACAAGAGAATAAATCTTTAAAACCAAAATTAATATATATATATAATATATATAGAATAGAACAGCCTTTTGTTCTTTCATTGTAACACGGGGTACAACAAAATTGAAGATTCCCTCAACTTTTCATCTTTTTTTTATTATTAAACTAATATAAATGTTTAACGATTCTGCCCCCCCACCCCCCCTCCCCAAGCCTAACATATGCAGATTGGTGGTGTAGTGTGTTAGTAGACTGTAGGCTGATGGTGGGTCTCACGTTTCTGCAGGTAGTGCTGCCCTCCACTGGTGACTGAGCCACACTTCATCTGCTGCTCAGATGGTAGAAAGTGAATATAGAGTACAGTGCAGTATCTTTGAGTATCTCACTGTGACACAGAGCCGGCAGCTCAGCTATGGTGCATGAACGGGACATAATTAACATACAGCACCACGTGACTCCCCACCAATCAGGTCGTTTGATGCTTATTGACTTCAAACCTGTGAAATCACTGACTGGAGTCAGAACCACTGTGAGCTGCTGCTGCATCTGCTCTGAATGCGGGGTGCGGGGGGGGAGCAGAGAGGGCCAACCCCACCGTGTTACTATGGCAACATTGAATTCCAAAGTCTGGATCAGCATAGAGCAGAGAGGGTAGAGGAGGGAGCAAGTGGGGGGTGAAGAGGGGAGAGATGGGAGGGGAGGAAGAGGAGGGTGGCAAGAGAGGAGGAAGAGGGGTGGAGGAGGGGAGGAGAGCAAAGAGATGGAGGGGGAAAAAGAGTGAAACAGAGAGGAGAGATGAGAAAGAGGCAGAAATGGGGGGGGGGGGTTCTCCCACACTGACATGACAACACACACACACATACACACACTGCTACACTAATGCAGCTACATCAATAGATGTGTGTGTGTGAGACCACTGCGACATACAACCAGAGGTGCAGTACTCACATACACCACCAGGGTCCGCAGTGTCAAACAAAGATTCATCTGAAACTCTAAAATGTATTTTCCCACAGTGACGACGTCCAATCCTGTCTATTAATATTACACGATACAATATGGTACGGGTGGGGGTTGGGGGGGGAATTAGGTCACATCCTGTTCATGGAAGACACCCACAGAGGAGGCATTGAGAGGGTTGGGGAGTGACTGAAGCGCAGTGACACCCCCAGGTTCAG